ATTGACAAACTGGAAGAGGACATCAGCAGCTCTATGACCAATAGCACAACTGCCAGTAGACCCCTGGTCACTCTGAGGCTGGTGGTCCCTGCTAGTCAGTGTGGCTCTCTCATTGGAAAAGGTAGTTGCAAGATTAAGGAAATACGAGAAAGCACAGAGGCTCAAGTCCAGGTGGCATGGGATATGCTCCCCAATTCAACTGAGTGGGCCAACACAATCCATCATTGAGTGTGTCAAACAGATCTGCTTGGTCATGTTGGAGACTCTCCCAGTTCCGTCAAGTTCTCCAGTCATCTTTGCAGGTGGTCAGGACAGGTACAGCACAGACATCGACAGTGCGAGCTTTCCCCAAACCACCCCGTCAATGTTTCTCAACCCTGACCTGGAGGGACCACCTCTAGAGGCCTATACTATTCAAGGATAGTATGCCATTCATAGCCAGATGTGACCAAGCTGCACCAGTTGGCAATGCAACAGTTTCATTTTCCTATGACGCATGGCAACACTGGATTCAGTGCAGGTTTGGATGCATCTACTCAGACTACTTCTCATGAACTCACCATTCCAAATGATTTGATTGGCTGCATAACTGGGCGTCAAGGAGCCAAAATCAATGAGATCCGTCAGATATCTGGGGCGCAGATCAAAATTGCGAACCCAGTGGAAGGATCTACTGATAGGCAGGTTACCATCACTGGATCTGCTGCCAGCATTAGCCTGGCTCAGTATTTAATCAACATCAGGCTTTCCTCGGAGACAGGTGGCATGGGGAGCAGCTACAACAGATTCATCCATAATCCCTTTCTGCTGTTCACCACCACCCATGATCCATCTGGGTAGTTTCTGAACAGTCAGCAATTCCAGGTTTTAAATAGTTTGTAAATTTTCAGTTTCTACACACTTTATCATCCACTTGTGATTTTTTAAAGTGTTTTAATTCCTTTCTCTATTCAGCTGTTAATGCTGAAATCCATATTTAGTTTTATAAGCTTCTCCTTTTTTTTGTTGTTTTTTATTTATTTGTTTGGTTTGGGCTCATAATTTTTTCTGTTTGTCATGGAAATGTAAGAGTGGACTATTAATACATTTCAGTTTAGTTCTGTAATGTCAGGAATTTTTCAAAAAAATTAAAAGATGGACTGGAAAAAAAAAGTCATAAAAAAATAATGGGGCTAATTGTCACACACCTAGATTCAAATCCCAGCTGCACCAATTATAAGAGAAAGACAGAAAAAAACCCTAGTCAAGTTATCATTAGACATTTACCTTTGTTTATCAACACTAAGATACCAAATAGAACTAGAGCCAACTGGTTCAACAAATCATCACCACTGAGTCTACAATATAAAACACAATTTACCTTACCTTAAGGTTTTCTTCCTTGAAAATTACTGGTGGCAAAATTCTGCGACCTTCTTTTGGAAAATATACTTGTATCATCCGGTCCCGTTCTTCCCAAGAGGCTTTTCGTAGTGTGCCACTTGGTTCTCTGACAACAATAAAACGCTCCTGAATTAGAAAACATGATCAAGGATGAATTGTTTAGGCTTATACTTAGTTCCCGTGTCCCACTAAGTCCATTATAAGAACAGTTTGCAATCAGCAATATAAAATGCAAGTTGGAAACATAAAACACAATAGGTACATAGGAGTTCATGATCATTTTAAATTGCAAAGACTTTGGCAAGGTTTGATACTTCCTTTGCTAATCATTGCTGTGCATCTATTAGAAATTTAAAATTTATGAATACCAACTACAGTGGTAACATGGATTCAATACATAAAATGGTTCAAACTAAAACTGATTCAAGATTCATCTAAATCAATTTTAGAGATAAAAAAAATGCTAAAAAACCTTTTCAAATTATTTCATTTCCCCATTCCAAACTTTCATCTAAATAGATTTTAACACTTTATGATCTATGTTAAAAGTCTCTGAGGTAAAAGGAACAAAYCCAAGAATGTTAATTGTTAATTCTACACTTCTGTGACTCCTMATATTGGCATTAGATGTATATATATATCAGAAAGACTGACTGGTCCATCTGCTTCTGGTCTCTTTACTCTGCCAAGAGCCAAATCCCAAGCCACGGGATCACTTCCTCTGAATTCCACCCATTGTTTGTACCATTCAACTGGCAATTTATGTGTACAAGATTCTTGGCACTTCTCAGATATTACATAACCGGACAAGGGCAGGAAGATGTGTGATGAGTTACAAAGAACTTTGCACATTGTTGGTAACTGATACACACCCAATCAATGTATAAATTAACCAGATGGTACTGACTCTTACAATTCCAGGGGTATAAGAATCTCTGAGGATAAAATAATTAAAACTTTCATCAAATACTGCAAATAGAAAAAAAACATAGCAGATGTCAATATAATAATTTTTCCTCAAAAGAATTTTGGTAATTTTAGTAACCAGAATTAAGTTTCTTTTTTTCAAGTTATTAAAATGTTCCCACAACAAGCAAAATTAAATTGCAAACATAAATTAAAACACCACAACACAAGAACATTAATTCAAATGAAATTCTGTGATTCCCATTCATGTCAGYTGCAGATGGCTGGTGCAGGGACATGCACACAGCTGAAATCTTGTCTTCAAGCCATAATCATATATGATCAAAGAATGAGTAATATGAGGTCATCTTTCAAACTCAGCATTCTGAAGTACTCTAGTGTATTTTGTGGGCTGAACTGAATGTGTTTTTTTTAGTTCTTTACTTATAAGGCCCAGATACAAAATTGATATATTTTTTAAAAATCAGAGTGTTCTTTTAAATTAGCAATCAAGGGAAGAGAAACCAGAAAATAAAAACAGAAGCAGCGATGTCTGAAAATTACCTAAGAAACATCTGTCGCTCTTACTGAAAATGCTGTAAAGTAAAAATCCACTGGGAAGTCTAAGTTTCTTGGCACCATGGAATTCGCAGGGTGGAAAAAGGCCTTCTTCTTAAAAGGCTTCAGCAAAGGAGAGCAATACATCTTAGACCAAATGCACTTCCTTTTCTCACTGTCCTGTAGGTTTTGCCCACTTGTGGTGTGTGGTGGGTTTCTGTCTATTTACAACTTGTTCTGTCTCAGCATACCTGATTCTTTGCAGTCAATCTGAAATATACTCAGCCCATAATTGGTAGGGAAATGGTAACATGGGTTGGTCTGCATTTCTTTCCTCCTTATATTAATTCTTCCAAAAGGTCTCACCTAGTCACAAGAATTCTACTTTTAAAGCATCAGACAGAACCAGGTCACACCATTCCTCAAACCCATCACCACATASTATTTCAAAGATCAATTTGCAATTAGACATATACTCACCCGGTGTGGTATGTTATATGATATATCAGTAAACACATATTTGGCTGTTTCTATTCCTTCCAAGATCTTATCTTCAGCTAACACGTCATTTATTGGTGTTCGTTCTTCCAAAACTGGTGGCATTTTTAATCGCACTTTGGCTGCTTCAACTGCCTTTCTGGTAGCCTAATGAAATAAAATATTTCTTAAGGAAAGACACAAGATTACAGACCAAAGGATGATCTGACAAAAGTAGAAACTAATAAAGAAAAAGACTAAAGACTGCAAAGAAAAAAAGCTAGAGCAATGACATAGTGAGTAAAAAGCCAAACTTGGATTCATGGGCCCTGCCTTTTCCTGCAGTGTGACCAGTCAGGCGTGTCCATAGGCTTAGCCATTATCACACCAGGAAAAGAGTGGTGAGACAACACCAGGCTATAAAAGCTTCTTGATTCAGAGGAGGCATTTATCGGGTGCTTACTATGTGTCAGATATTGTTCAAACAGGCTTAATATATTTGGCTCACTTAATGCCCACACTTTCCTATTATCTAAGTGCTACTGTTTATCTCCATTTCATGGAAAAGAAAACAGATGTTAAGTAAACTGTTAGAAAGTTGTGGCACTGGGATTTGAACCCARGAAATTCAACTTCAGAGCCCACACTCTTAACCCCTGACAACACCACTTTTTGCCACATTATTAAAGTGGATACCTCTGAGAGAAAAACAGGGGACTTTCACCGAACACAAAATATACTACTACTGGATATTTTAATTTCTTGCGACTATAAGCTACTTTTAAATGAGAAAGAAAAGCTTTACTGCTTCACATAGTCATACATCAAAGTGTATTTCACAAAGGTCTCAGTACCCATGGCTCCAGGAGGACACTGGTGCCTGGAGTAGGATGCTGCTCAGCAGGATCTCATAATTTCACCAAAGCTTCAGCCCCAAGGCAGCTCACAGCAGATGTTTCTCCAGGAAGGAAGCTGGAGCAGGCAGGAAAAAGGAAGGATACTCAGGCTGGTTTGGAGCAGAGAGGAGCCTCTGCTTGGAAACCCAGACCTGGCCCATATGCCCCAGTCTGTTCACTTTTGGCCACACTCCCACCTCCTCTCTACCTGCCTACTCATAGTTCTTTTCCCAATTTTGTGCCTGGTACCCGCTCACTGGTGCCTGTGGAAGAACAGTTATAAGAGTTTATGGGGGCCTCTGGAAATCTTGTTTAATCCCTTAATGAAAGATATCCTACTAACATTCCTATGTTCACATACCTCTTCCAACTGTGCCTGGGTCATTAGCTTATAAGTTGGTGGTTTCAGCTCCTGTACAGCTGGCTTAAAAATCTTCTCCAAATTCAAGCCCGTCATCTTGATGAGGATACTTTGGACTTCCTCATCCATAAATGTAGGTTTCTTCATCTCTGAGCTACGAGATTCTGCTAAAATGGATTTCAGTACATAAGAAGYCAGCAAAAATGACGGGCCAACAAGACCTCTCAATAGAAAAGTTATCAAAAAAAACCCATTAGTACAATATCTATCCCAGCAGTGCATAACACCTCTGAGATTCTTTCATTCATTCAAAATTTACTGAACATTTACTATGGTAAGGATGTGAATATAGACAAAATCTGCCAAAAAGACATTCTAATATTGGGAACAACAGGAAAAAAATTAATGTTATATTAATAGTAGTAATGGTTGCTACCATATTCAGATTTGTCTTTTTCGAGGGCTTTTTTCCTTGTCAATGAATGGAACCTAAGGCCTCATGCACACTGGGCAAGGACTCTACTGCTGAGTTATATTCCTGGCCCTCAAATTTGTCTCCTAAAAGCCAGGCACAACATACATTTTTAGGAATGCTTACAACCCACAGGTATTGATATCTTTTTTTTTTTTTTAATAAATGAGTATCCTAATGCTAACCCAAAGACAACTAGCTATTAAGTGACATGACCAGGATTTACCAACATCTGTCTAATACCAGAGTCCAGTAACTTCCCATTTAAATTCAACTCTGCCTCATGCAGTTCACCTTTCCCTTTGCCTCACTTCTTTTTCCATTTCCACAAGAAAAAGGAAAGAAAAAGCCATTTGTTCCCAGTCACTTCTTCCTCTGCTACTCCTAGTAGGGTTGGTTTCCTGAACTCTGAACTGTCCTTTTCTCCTTTCTCATATTCTCACTGAATGATCTCCTACATTCCTGTGACTTTAATCACACYTACACTCTAAAATCTGAAATCTCCAGCCAAGATCATCTTCCACCCACCTACTCAATGGACATCTCACATGCACTTCAATACTGCCAAATCAGAACTCATCAACTTCCTTGTTCCAAACCTGATTTTCCTACTTTTTCCTATCTCAGCACCATTCATGATATCATGCAAGCCAGAAACCTAAATCAYTCCCGGATTCTCCCTTATGTACCACATTCAGCCAAGAGCAGCAGTAAAAATAACAGTAATAATAACCACTAACATTTATTAAATATTCACTATGTACCAGTACTTACTGAGCTAAGTACTTTACATATTTAGCACATTTAATCCTCACAACAATCCTGAGGTAAATATTATAATTTCTTCGTTTTACAAAAAAAGAACATTGATACAAACATGACCTGCTAAATCCCAAAATCTTTCTGTAATCCTCCATTTCCCCCTATCATACGCTGCCTCCTTTCTGGCCTCACTGAAAAACATTCTCTCCAGAGATTACTTAAGAGAAATCTCTTAAAAATGTAATCAAGATGACTGTCAAGTTTAAAATTCACCTGTGGCTTCCAACATCACTCAGAAAAAAAGTTAAGGTGGTTTGCTTATTTCACTGTGTGCCCCTCTAGATGATGAGCTTTCTGAAGAACAAAGCTGTCTTTTGCTCACCTCTGGCAGGCACAGTCCCTTAAGAATGTCTAACACACATAGACACTCAGCACTACTCTCTCCTCAATCTTACCCACTCATCCAACTTTAGTTACCATTTTACTTTGATGTTCCTAGCTATATACTTAACCCTTGAATCTCTAAGGCATCTCAAATTTAATACGTCTAAAACAAATTTAATTCCATCTTCCTTCCAATTTCCTCAACTCATTTATACCTGCATTCCCCCCCCCACCCCCCGCCCAAAACAGAAACATCCTACAATTAATATTCTCCATCTTGGTATAAATTTTTTTTCAAAACTTTTTTTTTTTTTAGTTGTTGATGGACTTTTACTTTACTTACTTGTATGCAGTGCTGAGAATCGAACCCAGTGCCTCACACATGCTAGGCAAGCGTTCTTCTGCCACTGAGCTCCAGCTCCAGCCCATCTTGGTATAAATTTAACTGCTCAAGCCAGAAACTTGAGAAACAACTTTTCATTTTAAACCTAGATCCTAAAGCCACAACCAAGTCTTATCAACCCTACCTCCAAAGTGAGTTCCCAAAATACATGTTCAATCCCTTCTCTAGACTTTGCTTATGCTGTCCCTCTGCTGGGAAGGCTTGTCTCCTCCTTAGCATGGCTGGCCGGCCAGGTGTCGGCTTTGGTAGTGCTCTCCAGGGACCCATCCCTGCCCTCTCATCTAGCTTGAATGCCTCACTGTGGGCGTCCTTATCACAGCCCGGGTCACAGAGCACTCACTGCCAATTCCCCGCTGGGCTGGGATCCTCAGGGGAGCGTCCTTGACAGCCTTAGCTTACTCTATGCCATAAGCTTAGCAGCGCGCTTTGCACGGAGCCGGGCTCAGGCACCGCGGGCTGCGTAAATAAGCCTGGGAGGCTGATGATAAACCCGGGAAAGAACTACGAAAGCCGACTACGGCTGAGAATGCACTGAGGGAAGACTCGCAGGGGCCGCGGTTCTAGGCCTCCCAGGAGAAGCCCTAGCAGACGTCTGGCGGGTCACTTACCGGCCTCGGAGTTGAGCCGGCGGCACAAGAGCCTCACCGCGGAAGGCTGAGGCAGCGGCTGGAGCGGAGTATCGGGCTGGGGCTGGGTTCGGGCTCGGAAACAGGCCCGTTCGGCTCCCCGAGAACCTGTCAGAAGCCTCCAGAAAGGAACAGAGATTCTGAGGGTCGCCATGATTATTGAAGGCTGCCTGCGCCGGAAGCAACTGTGATAAACTTCCGGTTCGCGCTTAGTGAGTGAGGCATTCTGGGAAATGTAGTCTAGTTAGAAGCGGAGAGCATCAGAAGCTTTCTGGGCATTTATAGATTATTTTATGACTCTCCCTACGCGTGTAGCCAAAATTCAGACTTACACTTTTTTCGCTATGTGCTCGATTTCCTGGGTGCTTTATTTATTTCCATGGTTCTAAATAACAAATTTACGCTTTCTGCCCAAACCTTTTCTCCCATCTTTAGCTGCCTTCCAGATGGACTTCTCCTTTGGAACTCTCTGCAAACATCCGATCCTGAGCCTTGATTATCACTACCAGCAACTACAAAAACAACCTGTTCATACACTTTACTCCTATCCCATAACTACTCCTTTCCTTCAGAGTCTTTTTCACAATTCTTGATTATTTTACTCATTTATCTGCTTGGTTATTTTTCTCATCCCAGTTAACCTAGAATTAGATAGGCAGTCAGTATAGATAGGTAAATCCAATCAGGCCGAATCAAGGAGGCCAATTTTGAGTGAGTCTGGGAAGCTGAAGATTGTCCTCTGAGTGATTGAAAGGTTAATTCCTTCAGAGCCCTTCCTCCATCCTTATCAAGAATCTGCCCCTGCTCCAACCTATTGCTAAGGTGACCTGTCCCAGGTTGCCCCTCCCTAAAGGAAGGTATAGGTTGTTAATTAATGTGTCCTGGGATGCTCCATCCTGCCCTTCACCCTTCGGCCTACCTGTTTCCCAGCTTTTGGACATCCCACCCAGCATTCCTGGGCCTATTCACCTATGCAGGAAGGAGAAAGATAAGGGGAAGAGAGCAGGAGAACAATAGGAAGCCTAGGACATAAGAAAAGGGCAGAACATCTCACTTCTGGGGATACCGGAATACCAGCTATGGCCACCTTCTCCCTCCTGGAAGAAATCTATATTACCCTTTTAAAAATAAACCCTGCTTTAATTGCTTGCCTTGGTATGCTTCTCTAATGTTCAAACTTCAAACTTCAACACTAGTTCAACACAAATACAACTCCTCACCGATAACCAGCAGTATGGCCATGAAGACAGTGACTGTACATATTTTATTGTAATATCCCCTAACCGAGGCCATCTATGTGCACAGCAAATGTTTGTTGAATGAATTAATGAATCTGTAATGTTCCTTCCCAACTGTCAGGCTGTGCAGGTCTTATCCTTCCCTAGGCTATAGTCTGTGCTTAGTGTAAAGCAGAAAAGGGCACCCAAGGCCAGGAACTATGGAACAAGAATAAGGCACCAAAAGGAGTTTTATTGGGAAGGGGGGGGGGTGCTCCCAGGCGAGGTTCACAAGGGCCAGGGAAGTCACACATGCTCCAGGYGAGAACAATACCTTTATAGGTCACTAGAGGTAGGAAGGCCCAGGCCAACTAAATTGTTACTACCCTTAGTGGGTTACAACCTTAGTGGGTTGGCCGAGTGGAATTTAGGGGCTGAGTTTAAGGGCCTGGTGTCTTCAGCCAGGTGAAATGTCCCCACCCATGGCCACCAAGGGATGGGGAGGGGGAGAGGAAGGGAAAGCTGTGGGCGGACATCCCCACCTCTTTGATGTTGCAGGGCACTGGTTTCATCTGGCTACTTCCTGCTGGGGGGGTGGCTGTCTAGGGAAGGTCGGAGTTGGAGGCTCATTGGGAAGATGGCTATAGGGGTGGAGGAGCATCTGATTTACCACCACCGTGAGACTTTGCTGATGCAGTTTCGGATAAAGCTGAGGAGTCAAGGAGCAACCATTAGCAAGACACAGATCACGAGGATGAGACCAACAATTGACCCAACCAAGCAGCAAGGGCTGAGTTCCATCATCCTGGGAGGAGTGAGGTGGACTGCTGCTGCCTTCGCTTCAGTTCTTCACTCAGCCAATGTAGCCCATCGATGGCCAGTCTCRTTGATGTAATACAACATTCTTCCCTAAGGAATAAACAGGTACCACTATTGTCAGCGGTGAGTAGGTCTAGGGACCGCCTGTTTTGGAGAGTGACCTGTGCAAGTGATGTTATTTRTCTTTGGAGAGATGCCAGGGAGTTGGCAGAGGCTTCAACCGCTAGCTGTAATTTTTCTTCAAGCTCTTTAGTTGTGGTTAAATTATAGCCTGATGCCCAGGCCCCAGTGCCTGAGGCGGCCAGGGACAAGGCAAGGGAAAGGCCTATGATCACTGAAAGAAAGGCAGCCCATTTAGATCTAGTGGGTGGAGGCTCAAAGAGGGAAACTAGCCTGTCCATAGAGTGTTAGTTGAGGAACTAGGGTGACAGGGATCCAGAAAAGAGTGGCAGTAGAGAAGTTGATGACTTTTGTCAATGTCTTATCACACCAAAAGAAAAATCTCAGGGGTGCTTGGACTTGGGAGGACACCATAATAGTCACGTTGTATCTGGAGATGGTTTGGGAGGCATAGCAGATGGAAAAATTTTGCTGCTGCTGCAGGGGATTGTCAAAGGGGGATCCCCATCAGAGGCAGAGAGGCATCACCCCCTTGGGAGATGTTAAGGGGAAAGGTCAGAGGGACCTCCGTTAAGTGGGGGGGGGGGCTATCCAGAGCAGCACACAGAAAACAATCAGAAATATGATTGACCCTAGAGTAGTTCAGGAGTTGTAACCCCTGATGTACAAGGGCCAGCCATGAAAATGGGTCCCCCTTCTCTGCCTCGTGTGCCCCTGGCTGGTGACAGAGGGCAGTTTCTTTCTGGAGGATTTCTTAGTGGAGCTAAGGAAATACTCAGGTGTAGGTGTGGAAAATCTTAACAGATCCAGAGGAAGAACTGTCCCAGGGCCAGATGTACAACTTTCCCTCGACTCCTGCTGCCCAGCGATTGTCCCAGGGATCTCTGATGTTCGGGTAAGTCCTACCTCCAGAATAGGTATATAGGAATTGGGTTTGGGTGTTCTCTCTGAGCTTGGTGCATGTTGCAGGAGGTGTGAGAGCATCCTCCATATATATCTGATTGGGACTTGCAATACCGCTTGGTTTAAAGGAGGGGCATGGCCAGAAAGACTGAGGCCGGTTAATAGAATAGAAACAGTTGTTTGGCAATCAGAAGGTTGGCAATCACCGGTTCCTAATATCCAGGTCTTACCATCCCAGGTCCCCTGTGCCTGGAAATGCCAGTGGTAGGGATTAGGCAGCGTCAGATTAGGCACCACTGTTCGGGTCAGGGCACCTATAGGAAAAAGAAGGAAAGGAAAGAGGAAAAGAAGCAGGAGGCTCACAGATGATCTGGAGTTGAGTGGGTCCCACCAATTGGGATGACCGGGACTTAGGTTCTGGGGCAAGCTTGAGCCGAGAAACATGATACCAAGAGGGGTGGCCTAACAGTTTGACTGATGTAGGGGTGGTGAGAATCATCATATGGGGTTCTATCCAGCACAGTTGGAGTGATCGAGGATGAAGTTCCTTTAAAAGGACCCAGTCTCCTGTTTGAAGTGGACCATCAGAAAGCACTACTCCTGCTGGAGCAGGAAGGTGGTGGTCCGCTTGTTCCTGGAGGAGGTTGCAGAGCAAGGTGAGATAAGATAGATATGAGACCAGAAGTTGGGGTTGGATGGGAAGGTTGTGATCAATCAGGGAGGAGCAGCCATACAGCAGTTTGAAGGGGGCTCTAGGGGCCACTCATAGGCTGCTCTGTGGTGATTGGCCCAACAGTTGAGCTTCCATCTACAAAAATTGTCAGGTCTTGTACCAGCGAGGGGTGGTCGAAGAGGCTTTCCTGAGGTGAGCRTAAGGCCTCAAGTACTTGAGGACCAGAGTGGGTAGGTGGGTGCRTAGAGCCAGATATTGGGAGAAGAGAAGCTGGGTTAAGGGGGTAGAGAAAACCCCACAGAGGGAAATAGTGGGGTTTTCAATGAAAAGTAAATGAAACTCCTGAATCCGGGAGGGGCCCAGGTGGGAGAGAGATTTATATCTGAGGAGGTCCTGGAGCCTATGGGTAGAAAAGACAGCCAAAGGTTGAAGGAGGGTCAACTTTAGAGATTCTTTGGTAAGTTCAGCTGCCACTGTGAGGGCCTCCCAGGCAGGGCAGCCATCCCTGTACTGTAGAGTCGAGATGTTTAGAGAGATATGGTGCAGGAGGGTCCAAGGGGCTGGGCCAGAAGACCAGCGGCAATCTCTTGTTTTTCATCTGTAAGAGGTGGAAGGGACGATTGGGACYGGGTAGAGAGAGTGGAGGTGAGGAGATCGAAGCATCTCTGAGTTTGAGGGAAGATCAAGAGACCTGGGCTGGTGATATCAATGGTCCAAATGGAGTGTCTTTAGCTGCCTGGAATAGTGGCTTGGCAAGAAGAGCAAAATTGGAAACCCAGTTGGAAGAATCCAGCGAGCCCCAAAAGTGAGAGGATCTGGTCTGATGACTCRGGAGGCTGCAATCTCCTAAGAGCTTGGATTCTGTCTACAGGGAGGATTTTGGAGGTAGGGGTTAGAAGAATGCCCAGRTAGGTAACCAAGGGAACTGAGAGTCGAGCTTTAGCTGGGGAAACTTGGTATCCTCGGGAACCTAAAAAGGTGAGTAGGTGGGCAGAGTGTTCCCGAGAAGTCTCTAAAGATGGGCTGCATAAGAGGAGGTCATCTACATATTGTAGGAGGGTACTGACACCGAGATCACAGGTAGCTAAATCCTGGGCCAGCGCCTGTCCAAACAGGTGGGGACTATCCCAGAAGCCTCGAGGGAGGACAGTCCAGGTTAGTTGATGTGAGGTGAGGGTGTCAGGGTCCTCCCAGGAGAAAGCAAAGAGGAAGTTAGAATCTGGATGAAGCGGGACTGTTAAGAGGGTGTCTTTGAGATCTAGAACTGTGAGACRAGAGGTTGAGGGTGGTATGTGAGAGGAGGGCATAAGGGTCACGGACCACTCTTGGTCAGGAGCTCCTGATGGTTTGCAGACAGGTARGATCAGAGTGTTGCAGGGAGAGTCAATGGGAATAAGTTGATCTAGAAGTCCYTTGATGATGGGTTTGAGTCCCTTGAG